AGAAAACATAAGCAGTAAGCTCCTTGACATTGGTCATGGAGCTGAATTTTTGGGTCTGACTCCAAAGCAGAAGCAACAAAAGCAAAAATAAATAAGTGGGGCTATATCAAACTGAAAAGCTTTTGCACAGTGAAGGAAACCATCAACAAAATAAAAAGGCAACCTACTAAATAGGAGAATATATCTGTAAATCATATATCTGATAAGGGGTTAATATCAGAAATATACAAAGAACTTAATCAATAGCAGAAAAACAATATATTAATTAAAAAATGGGCAGAAAATTTAGAGATATTTTTCCAAAGAAGACATATAGATGAAGAAAAATAAAAAAGAGATATAGATGGCCAAGAGGCACATAACAAGATGTTCAATATCACTAATTATCAGGGAAATACAAATCAAAATCACAATGAGATATCACCTCACACCAGTTAGAATGGCTATTATTAAAAAGATAAGAAACAAAAAGTGTTGGTGAGGATGTGGAAAAAAGGGAACAATGTATACTGTTGGTGGGAATGTAAACTGGTGGAGCTACTATGGAAAACAGTATTGGAGAGTACTAAAAAAAGTTAAAATAGAACTATCATATGATTCAACTATTCCACTTCTGGGCATTTATCCAAAGAAACAAAAACACTAATTCAAGAAGATATATTGCACTCCTATACTCATTGCAACATTATTTACAATAGCCAAGATAAGGAAGCAATGATGAATGAATGTATAAAGAAAATGTATTGTATATATCTATTCACTGACCACTCCCCAGCTATAAAAAAGGAATTGTTGCCATTTGCAACATGAATGGACCTTGAAGGTATTATGCTAAGTGAAAAAACTGGGCAGAGAAAGACAAATACCATATGATTTCACTTATGAGTGGAGTCTAAAAAACCAAATCAAACTAAACCAAACCAAGCTCATAGATACAGAGAACATAGTGGTAGTTATTAGAGGGGAAGGGAGCTGGGACTTGGCTGAAATGGGTAAAGGGGGTTAACTGTGAGTTACCTAGACTTACTGTGGAAATCACTTTGTAGTGTATACAAAAATAGAACTATTATGTTTTACACCTGAAACAATGTTATTTACCAATTTTACCTCAGTAAAAAATAAAATAAATATTTGCTATTAAAAAAATGGACATGCATTGAAATAGCTGTGCAAGGTAATACTGAACAGTGAAAGAAAAACACCTGATTCATAAAAGAAAGATTTGGTAAAGGTGATTGGGTGATTTTAAAGAAACTTTGTACACAGATACATATTCTTCTTCAGATACACTTAAAAACAATAAACATGCATACTCACGGGGAGATGCATTTCAAATTCTTTTTTTTTTTTAAATATTTTATTTATTTATTTGACAGAGAAAGACACAGCGAGAGAGGGAACACAAGCAGGGGGAGTGGGAGAGGGAGAAGCAGGCTTCCTGTGGAGCAGGGAGCCCGATGTGGGGCTCCATCCCAGGACTCTGGGATCATGACCTGAGCCGAAGGCAGATGCTTAATGACTGAGCCACCCAGGCGCCTCGCATTTCAAATTCTTAATACTTTCCTAAAAATGAACCCTTAAACATAATTCAATAATTAGAAAGTTTTAGAGAACAAACAGCTACAAATCATAATTTTAGTTATGTATTTTTAAAATACCTAGGATCTTAAATACCTATTGATTTTTTTATAGACCAAAATTATAAACACCACCAAAAGGAAAGTAGTTTTTTATTTTATTTTTTAAGATTTTATTTATGTATTAGAGAGAGAGAGAGCACAAGAGAAGGAACACAAGCTGGGGGAGTGGGAGAGAGAGAAGCAGGCTTCCCGTTGAGCAGGGAGCCCGATGTGGGGCTCGATCCCAGGATCCTGGGATCATGACCTGAGCTGAAGGCAGACACTTAACCAACTGAGCCACCTAGATGCCCCAGGAAAGTAGTTTGTTAAACAAAAGAAAAAAGTCTTAGAAGTAATCCCTCTATTTCTTTTTTTTTTTTTTTTAGCAATATTTGACAGAATGGCATTCTAGTATCCTAAAAAAAAAGTACTAGCTCTAAAAAAGATACCTAAAAAATTTAGTAAGATTTCACATAAAAAACATTGTTTCTTCCTATGGAACTAAACTTTGCAGACTTTAATTTTATTCCTATAATATATGATCAATTCTTTCAAAAATTAAAATTAAACCCCCCTATATGGAATGAATAAGTCACAAGAATAAAAGGCACAGCATAAAGAATATAGTCAATGATACTATAATAGAAATGCATGGGGACAGATAGTAGCTACACTTGTGGAGAACGTAGCATAATGCATAAAGTTTTCAAATCACTGTTTTGTACACCTAAAGCTGTATTTTGTACACCTCTAACACTGTGTCAACTACACTCAAATTAAAAAAAAAAAATAAAAACTCCCCCTCTCACACCATATTGCACCAAAAGGGTTAGGGGAAAAAAACCCCAGACAGTCTGAATGACTATAAGCTTTTCTATTGTGTAATTTCTTATTCAGTTATATATGGCCCCTGAGAGTATTTGTTATTATACAGAGACATACCCACCATTCAAAATTTACAAATACTAATACTGTAAGGTTTACTTCCTATTCTTTTTTAAAATAAAATAGTTCTGCTGAAGTTGCCATTACATTTTTTACTCTTCCCCAGATTGATTCTCTTCCTTCCAGATAAAATCAATATTACAAGTTTAATATGTGTTCTTCCAATCTATGTTTATATATTTGATTAAATATACATATATATTCATAAAATACCTAATATTATTTGTGTGTATGTGCTATGCATTTTATTTTATTTTATTTTATTTTTTTTTTTAAAGATTTTATTTATTTATTTGAGAGAGAGAGAGAATGAGAGACAGAGAGCACGAGAGGGAAGAGGGTCAGAGGGAGAAGCAGACTCCCCGCTGAGCAGGGAGCCCAATGTGGGACTCGATCCCGGGACTCCAGGATCATGACCTGAGCCGAAGGCAGTTGCTTAACCAACTGAGCCACCCAGGCGGCCCTGTGCTATGCATTTTAAAAATAACATTATGCTTTCAAAATCTGATCATGTTAAAACATATAAATCTAATTTATTCATGTTAACTTCTAAATGGTATCTTATGACTATTTTTAAAATTTTTTTATTTTTTAAGATTTTATTTATTTATTTGAGAGAGAGCACGAGCATAAGCAGAGGGGAGAGGGAGAAGCAGGCTCCCCACTGAGCAGGGAGCCCGATGCAGGGCTGGATCCCAGGACCCCAGGATCATGACCTGAGCTGAAGGCAGACGCTTAACCAACTGAGCCACCCAGGTGCCCTTCTTAAGACAATTTAAGTAGTCCATCTCCTACTGATGAGTATTTTGGTTGTTTACAATCTCTGGCATTCCAGAAACTGATTCAATAAACATCCTTGTACATGTATCCTTATACCCATGGGTAAGAATATATTCCTAGAAATGGAATGGTTTGGTTGGAAGGCATTTCTCACTTTACCAGATATTGCCTAACTGCTCTTCAAAGGAGTTACAACAATTTATACTCCTACCCAGCAGTATATGAGAGTTTGGTATATGAAATGTTCCTGACATTTTTGGTATGTCAAGTATTTTCATTGTTGCCAACCTAGTAGGTCTAAAATATGGTATTAGTGTAGTTATTTTACAAGTATTTTGCATGTATGGAAGGACAGAGCCACTGAGCAAATACGATGATGATGTCAGGAACCAGAGTTCTTACTGTTGGGTATGGGAAACATAAGTACTTATTTTTGCATAGATATAAGGAGAAGGTGAAAAAGAACCTGGTGGTGCTGGATTTGAACTGCAGTATTAGAGTGAGCTTACGAACTAAAAATGCACACATATACACATATATACATATTAACTTATCCATGCAAAAATGTATATGTGTATAAATCACTCTATACACTGAAAATATCTCAGAAGTAATGATATCCAGAGCAATAAAAAAAAAAAAAAAATCCTGATTTCTAAGTATCATTCTCCAGTTAAAGGAATCAGGACTCCTTAAAGAAATGTCTGGTTCCAGGTCTGGGGCAAAGAAAACACAAGGTCAATCTCAAATTGTTTGTCAGAAAGCTAAAAAGCATTCAGCAATGTAGGGACTTGCTTTAAAAAAAGAAAGAAAGAAAAGAAAGACAGGTGCCTCCATAAGCCAGATCTTAAGAAAAAAAGTGAAGAATTATAATACACTAATTTAGTAACAGAATCCCCAAGTTCTAGTGATATTTTTTTTAAATAAGGAAAAATAAAGTTCACCTTTACAGAAAAATGCCAATATAGAAGCAAAGATAGAATTAGAAAAACCACTATTTTAGAACTGATTCAGACAAAGATCAGAGTGAATGCTAAGTCCATCAGATGAAAAGTTTTGGACACAGGACAGGCACAGAATCTCAAAGTACCACACCACAGATTACTTAATAATTGTCAAGGGAAAAATGTGCCTTTACAGTTTGCCTTATTTTGGTGAGGAAGAGCTTCCTTTCATGCTTCTTGGCTATTCAGGTATCCTCTAATGTTCACATTCTTGGCCTATTTTTCTGTTGGCTTGTTTGTATTTTACTAATTAAATTGTATAAATTCTTATATACTTTGGACATTGTAATGCCAATATCTTTAGAGAGTCTGTGACCTGTCTGTGTTACACTTTGTGGTAAATTTAATACATTTTCCCCTGTCCTCTGGATCGTACATACAGCCATCTACGTTTTCTTCTGAAGGCTGGATTCTATTGAGCTTGCTTTTCTAAGGAGAACAGTGAACACTGGCATTAACTGTTGGAAGATACAAGCCACTGGTGCAGCCTCCTTGCAATGTCATCTGGTGGCTCTAAGAGGTTTTCCAGCTTTATGTGGAAGCTCCTTTTAACAGCACAAACAATTAAAATTGGCTATTTAAAAAATATATGATAAAGTTATAGTTTTAGGATGTTAAAAAATTAAAAAAAGAATTTGTCATATAATCTTACGTGAGTGAACAAAATTTCATTCTTGAGCTCTTCATAGCTTTCATTTGGATTCCAAGCTTCAGCAAACTGCAGGAAATCCCATTTTTCCTTATCACCTTCCTCAGCCTGAAGTTGTTCCTTCCTACCATTCAATGTACTCCCTGTAACTTGTGTCTGTAAGATGAAGAAGCATATGAATTTTACAAAAGTTCTCTCACAGCTGATACTTACTAAGCAGTGACCTGATTTTGCATTTAAACCACAAGCAATTCACTAAAGAAACTCTTAGTGTTTCAACCTGTCATGGACCTTAGTAATAAAATTTTTCAAAATTACAACCAAATTACTAAGTCGATGATTCCTATACTTAATGAGGTAAATGTCTAATCAGAGAAGTTATACCATTTTCTTTTCTCATAAAAACTTTTGAGTGGCTAGAACAAGCGATGTCCCTCCTACCCTTTCTGGGGTCCAGGTACAGGCTGTCCTCTGTCCAAAATTAGCCAGAACTCAAGCCTTCTGTGCAAGGTTTTTTCTTAGCTTACAAAAAGGACTTGGGGTTTGACACTGTTATGGTTCCTTGCTAGCTCATCCTCTTTTGGCCTCTAAAATGGTAGATGAAGGCCTTGGAAGACAGGAAGAACACATGTAAATGCACGTCTCTCCCAGTAAGAATAGGTAAGGTACTACCAACTGAAGACTTTTCTAACCTCGGTCCCTATTAACATCACTATCTTAGCGTACTTGAATATCCTTTGCCTGAAAACACTACAACTCAGTATCCTAACTTACGTAGGCTCTACATAATGAATAAGTTGGTAACCTGGTTTGAATTCAAGCTTTACCTTTCGATTCAACATCCCCCACATAAGGGTGTCCAGAGTCCCATTTGCAACAAGGTAGTGAATATTCACAGAACTGCACTGTCCAATTCGGTGAGCCCGGTCTTCTGCTTGTTTTATATGTCCAGGGTCCCAATACAACTCAGCAAATACAACATGAGTTGCAGCAGTAAATGTCAAACCCTAAGCAAAATAAAGTGAAGAAACTGAGATGCAAATAAACTGAGAATGTAACATACAGCCAGATATAACAAAGTCTTTCTGAACATGTTAAATGAACAAGAGAAAGCTGAAGGACTTAAAAATAAGTCAATCTTTCATTTTAAGCCAAATTAAGAAAATTTAATTCATGAAAGGCAAATGAAGACTGCTTATTGCAAATGGCCAGGTAAACTACAAAAAACACATTTAAAAGGTATTTCATTATTTCCAAAAGTCAGTTTGATGGAGATATATATATATAAACAAAATCACTTTATCCTCTGATGAGGACTGGATTCACATTACCACTGGAAAATCTAATACAATACATTATAAATGAGAATATAATTTCTAACACATGGTATCCATAGCAACTAGGCAGAAAGCAACAACTCCCTCTATTCATTTAATTCATAGTGTTGTTTTATAAAGCAAGAAAATCATGTTTCCAGTCACACTATTCTTTTCCTATGAAATTTCTCATGTTACATCTCAAACACTCTTAAGTTTACTGGCTTTTATCTCAATATATATATAACACAATTGACTTTTTTGTGCAATTGCATTTTACATCAGTTTGAAATAGTTTGACATTAATAAGTATTAACTAAGTCTTGTTGTATAATCACTATGTGAAAAATAATGCAAATCTCAAATTAAGAATGTCTCCAAAAATGCATGATTTTAAAGTTGAAAGGCTGGGTGAAATGTGAACCATGCTTAAGCTATTGTCACACAGTAATAAATGATGTTATGTGGTTGAAAGAAATACCTATCATCCTTTGAGAGAATCATCTAATCCACGCTGGTGTTCACATGCCCTGGAACTTCTATCAGTGAATGACTTTTGTGACTGCTGTGCTGTTATTTTTATATTACTTTAACTTAAAATATTTTTATATCACATAACGACATCATACCAGCATTCATTAAATGGTGGCATAAGTTCTCAAGCTGAAAAATTCATTAAGGATCCATCACTTTGGAACAGAAGTTAGAAGTGATAAAAACATGGTAAGCCCAACAACCATCAAGCTAAACTGTGCTGCTATTTAGGACAGGAAACACCACAAAATATTAGAGATGATGCTGGAAAATAACAAGTAGTATTTAACGAGGGATGAAAACCTTGTGTGTTAGAAGCATCATATGACCATACAAGAATAAAAGGGAAATATGCTGGCAAGACCCACATCCCTCTAACATACTACTAAACTACAATGGAAGATTCATATGCCCCAAGAAGAAAGCCCTTTCTACTTTCCTTTATTCCTATGAACATACTAATGCTCAAGTATATGAGTTTTCAATTATACTAGGTCCTCAGGAATACAGCTTTGAATAAAATATGGGTGCCCTATACAATCTTAACTTCAGAAAGTCTTTTATCAAGCCACTCCCAGATCATCCTACCTGGCTTCCTTCTACTTTTCTTCTCCCATGCCATGAGTACTCCATTTCTAATTTTAAGCTCTTTTTGATGACATTCTCTCTGGCTGGAATATTCTAACAGATAGAAAACTTAGACTACTAGAGGTTTAATCCAACATGAGGGAAGTATTGAGATAATCCTCCTTTTGGTAAGAACTCCTGGTGAGTTCTAGAACTTCTTTATCCTCATGGAGCTTCTCTCTATAATCAATTTTATAGACATCAATTAGCTGGCTAAAAGCAGATCTTTGGCCCTGGTTCAGATTCCAGAATCTAGAGATATGCTATATATCAGGTTGGATGCACAGAAAATATGTTCAATCATTTTTCCCTATGTTAAATATCCTGGCTTAGATATTTACATCAAAATATTGTAGAATGTTAGTGGAAAAAAAAGTCAGAAGGATCCCCCTTACATAGTGAGGCAGAGACTGTCATTGTCTTCCATAATAGCTATTCAGTTCTTATTTCTTTGTAACAATACCTGATTTTTATTTTTTATTTATTTATTTTTAAGATTTTATTTATTTATTTGATCGAGAGTGAGAGAGCACAAGTAGGGGGAGCAGTAGAGGGAGAGGGAGAAGCAGGCTCCCCGTGGAGCAGGGAGCCTGATGCGGGGCTTGTTCCCAGGACCCCGGGATCATGACCCGAGCTGAAGGCAGACGCTCAACCATCTGAGCCACCCAGGCGCCCCAACAATACCTGATTTTTAGTGTGACTAGACAAAATAAAGGCTATTTTTCCCAGCTTCCCTTGAAGTTAGTTGTAACCATGGGGCTAACTGCAGGTGAATAAGATGCAGCATGCCTTTCTCCAGTCAGCTGCCTGGATCACAGATATGATGGAGGAACTCTAGCAGCTCTCTTAAATAAGAGATAGCTGCTAGGAGTGGTAAAGCAGAAAGCCAGGAGACACTTAAGCCCTAAGGACTTTGTGGAACTACCATGCTAACCCTGGGCTGTCTACATGAAAGAGTAAAACTTTGTGTATTTGAGTCATTCTTAATTTGGGTTTTCATTTACTTGCAGCCAAACCCAATCCTAAGGGTCAAACCAGGGGTGCTCCATAAAAAGTTCTTTTCCCTCAGGTCACCTTATCTCACAGGCTCTGGTGAAACCAATCAAGTAAGATAAGTGCTATAAGAAATGAAAGGAAAATTCTATGCAGATTCAAAGTTAGAAAAAGAAAAGATCATGGAAAAGTATTAGCATCAAATCAACTATATTCATCTAGGAAATTCTTTCCTTGAAAATTTAAGATTTGAGCCAGAGGTGGTGAGGTCTCCTTCTATTATACTTTCTAGCACTCTCCAAAGTAGAATATTTATTACACCTTTATCTTGATGTAAAGTTATAATTATGGTTAATGACCTTTTTATTATCTTAACAACATTTCATTATCAAATTTACACATGGAATTTCCTACCTGGCCAGCAGCCTGAATGCTTAGGATAGCCACACGAGTATCAGGATCCTTTTGAAACTGATTAACTAGATGTATTCTTTCTGAAGATGGAACACTTCCATCTATCCTAATGTAGCGAGCCTAGTATCAACAAGGGAAATGGCAAAATTAGCACAAACCCCTATGTACCCATCTCATTTTATATGTTTTATGCCTTATTTTTACACTTCAAATAACAAAATATAAATGGGTTAAGATGAAAGGTTAGTAAATGTTATATAAGAAGAATCTTAATCAGATTTCTTAATAGCTTCTTATAACAATTCCCCATTTTTAAATCTTTTAATCTACTTGAGGGTAGGATCTATGTCTAATTCATCCTCATACCATCAATGCCAAGTGCAATGCCTTGTATATAACATGAGCTCCATAAATCATCACTGAATTAAGCTAAAGTCTTCAGTAAAATTCTGTGTAAATTCACGTGTAAACTTTAAATGACAGATCAAACTAACTTTAAAGCTACAGGTTCACTGATTCCAAAGTAAAAATAAAGCCAGACAGGGAGAAAGGGAGAAAGAGGATTTTACCCACAGGAAAATATCTTTTTTGGTGTACCATTTGAATTCATTTTTTTCACATTCCTAAACTTAACAGAAATATGTGATAAGGCACCTCCACTGAGTTGGGGAACTAAGACACTCCCATACATTTTTAAAAAGTAGGGAAACATTAAGTGCTAAACTCAACAGTGCTGTCTTCTAGGAATGATTTGGGTTAGGAAAAGGGAGCAATTGGTGTGTGTTAGAGTAACTAAAAAGAACTCATGACTCAACTTTCTAAAATTCAGTATTAAGTTGTGAATTTCACATCGTCTCATTTATATATGCACTTCTATGGAAAACATAGCCTTATATAGTTAAGACATACTAATATTCACTTTCATAAGGAAATAAAGTTAATCATTAAATAGAATGTCCCATATTAACTTTCTATGTCTTCACAAACAGATACACATTGCTCAGTGAGCCATCTAATATCCAATAAGGGAGATTATAAAATCTTCCAACAGTCTTTCTAAAGAAAACACACATTGTCAGGCTAGGGAGAGTTTGGGAGAGATTCACCTCCAAACCATGACTGTCTACCATTTTTAACTGTTACTGATGTTAAATGGGATTCTAAACACATCAGTAAAGCAGAAGTGGGGAGAACAGACTGCTATACTTAGAATAGATCCCAGTAGTTTTAAAGTTTTAAGCTTAATGGAATCAGAATAAGAAAATATTATGAATCTAATTTTATTGCCCAATCATTAAAAAAATATTTCTAACGGTAATTTAACTCTTCCTCAAGAGGCATTTAAAGACACGATATGATAATCAATGTGAGCGCACCTTTTCATGGGGAGCACTTTATTATATTATCATAAATCTTTCTATGAAGGAAGCACTAGAACTACTTCTTTGGTAACGTTAATAAACATACTGGCAAATGCTCAAAAATGTATACAAAGCTTTAAAAAACATGGCTTAATTTCTCCACTTAAAAAATCTACCTACATAGGCAAGTGGTTTTGCACCAACATGTATATTAAGTTCACACAATTTGTCACGAAATATCTTCTGGCTGTTTCTGAGCATCTCTAAAAGCCCTAAGCACACAAAGAGAGATGACAGGTTTAAACTCTGAAAGAAAACATGGCAGATGTTGTCACTGATAAGACTGCTGGGTATTAAGCGAATCTAAGAAAATGCAGTAAGGCCAGCAGGTTTGGGGAGCTTACTTGAGAGGGTACCTGGCCCATCTGTTTCAAACTCACCTGTACTAAATCTTACTCTAAATCACACTCTACAGAGGATGCTGCCTGGCAGTTTAAAAGGCATGACTGCAGCTGGATACTAAAATTGGCTGAATTCATTCTGTTTCCCCTCGACATCACCATATTCTAAAGCTGACTTGCAGGTAAATAAAAATTTTAATTTTTAAATGCCTACACCAGTCTCAAATGGTATATCCAGTAACAATAATGGAATTCACAGTATAGCCTATCAAGTCAGCATATTTTAATCAATCCAGATAATTAGATTGGTGGAAAATTACAAGCCTGGAATAAAAGAAAAAGTTTAATAGTTTATCATCAACATAATAATAATATAATATTAGTATAATTTGCAAGAAAAAATCTAATAATAATTAATATATCATTTAAACAAAGCCAAAAGAACCCTCAATTACAAGACTACAATTGACGTTTAGTATATTAACAACCTGCATGCTAAAAAGTATTTTACAGAAAAATGATAACATACCTTGTTTTCTATGACTGCTTCTGTGCAAGCTTGGAGCATGCTTAAATGATGAGCAAAAACCAGAAACTTAAGTGAATCATTTTGAAGCATCATCTTAATATAGTCCTTTACAGCACCTGCCTAAATATTAAAAGTTAAACCTTATTAATGGCATATAAATCTTTATCAAAAAATCACATCACTTTCTTTTAACAAAGAAGAAAAACTTCAAAAGTCAAAAATTTTTATGAACTTTCAACTTCTTTGTTCTCTAGGTAACCTAGGGAAACAGAGGGCCACATCTAAGGGGAAAAGGGAAAAACAGACACAAGAGGGGAAAAAACAAATCCTATTAACTCTGAGAAGTAAAACAAGAACGAGACAAGAATGAGAAGAAAAGGTTTCAGTGGAAAATAGGTAGTCAATTAGGCTGTGGCCAAAAAGGGGTTGGTGGTTTTGTTTAGAAAGAAAAGAAGGGCCATATGCACCCCAATGTTCACAGCAGCAATGTCCACAAGAGCCAAACTGTGGAAAGAGCCGAGATGCCCTTCAACAGATGAATGGATAAAGAAGAGGTGGTCCATATATACAATGGAATATTACTCAGCCATCAGAAAGGATGAATACCCACCATTGGCATCAACATGGATGGAATTGGAGGAGATTAAACTAAGTGAAATAAGTCAAGCAGAGAAAGTCAATTATCATATGGATTCATTCATTTGTGGAACATAAGGTATAGCATGGAGGACATTAGGAGAAGGAAGGGAAAAATGAAGGGGGGAATCGGAGGGGGAGATGAACCATGAGAGACTATGGACTCTGAGAAACAAACTGAGGGTTCTAGAGGGGAGGGGGGAGGGGGGATGGGTTAGCCTGGTGATGGGTATTAAGGAGGGCACGTACTGCATGGAGCACGGGGTGTTATACGAAAACAATGAATTGTGGAACACTACATCAAAAACTAATGATGTACTGTATGGTGACTAACATAACATATTAAAATAAAATTAAAAAAAGAAAGTAATTTTCAAAAAGGCTCATATAAAAGACTAAGTGGAAATGGATGAATAGCACTTTTTTTTAAAAAAAGAGAAAACTAAAAAATAAGAAAGCTGGGACTGGAGCTTAAGGGTTAAGGAAAGTTGCTTCATTCATTTTCTTAACTAAGAAACTTCTATTGGTTTAAAAACAGGCCATTTAAGGTGTAGACAGGCTAAGAGTAATGGAAAATGAGGGGATTTAGCTTGTTTCCAGGATGGACAAGGTTGTAGAAGAGGCTGGAGTGGTGGGATGAAGAAAACAGGAGGGAGGTCTGAGAGCACAGGAGGATGTATGAAGAAACTGTGAAGTAGAAAGGAGAAAATAAAGAAAGCTCAGATTAAAAAGACTTTGCCTATTAAGAAAGAGAATATGAGATGAATTAAATAGGAATTAAATTTAAAGCATCAATTAAATCTAAAACATGAATATAGTCTCTTAACTGTTAAAAACTAATTATTTAGAAACTGGGGGAAAAGAGAGCAGGCTGAACATATTTGACCTAGACTCCCCCTCAATGCTGTATAGCAAGGTGTACAGAGACAAAGAGAACTGGAAAGGGATCAATAGCAACAAAACTTCGGAAATTAGGGGTGCCTGAGTGGCTCAGTCAGTTCAGCAGTGACTCTTGATTTTGGTTCAGATCATGATCTCAGCATCATGAGATGGAGACCCTTGGAGGGCTCTATGCTCAGCGGAGAATCTGCTTGAGATTCTCTCCCTCTACCCCTCCCCTACCAACTTGTGTGTGTGAGCGTTTTCTCTCTAATAAATAAATCTTAAAAAAGAAACAGAAAGAAAACTTTGGAAACTAAAAATTAATTTAGTAATTGATTAGCCAACCTGACAGCTCCTAAGGTGGCAATATGGAAAGTTGAGAAGCATGTGGGTTAGAATATGGTAATGTAAAAAAGGTTTAGGAAATGATGCAAGGGGAAGTGAGGGGTGTGTGGCTACAATAGGAGGATTGGTCAAAGAATATTTAAATAGTTGATTATGTGCAACACTGATCTATATCCTCTCTGTACCCATTCCACATGATAGAGTACTTCTCCAACCTACTCTCAGAAAGCAAGAGGTTTTTTCTGGAGAGGGTAAAACAGAAGGTATCTGGATAAGGGAATCCCACATTGATGGCAGACTATTCTACAATATCATAGAGATTAAATAAAAGTTACATAATAAATGCTGAGCTCTGCCTTCTCCCTCAGCCTTGTTATCCTCCCATGTCCCCCAAAAGATAAAGAGGCTTATGCCTTCTACAAAGGACAGCAGAATCATATAAAATGATTATTTTCTAGGGAATCAGACAAGCCAGGGAGAAAAGACTAAAGATTCTGATACTGAGGTTTCCTCCATAAGACATCAGCCAGATTACCCTTTACTGAAGGCCATAGTTTCCAAGCCATATCCATGTACAGAGTTTCCAGGCAGTGTAACTAGAAGAGATAACATTTATAAAACAACAGGATGCTCCAGAAAAGGAATGATTAAAGAAAAAAGGGAGGGAAGTACTCTTGGAAATTAAAAGCATAATAGCAGAAATGAAAAATTTACGGTTGTGAAGCTGAAAAAATCTTCCAGGAGGTAGATGAAAAATAATAGAGTAAATATAAAAGTACAAGAAAATTAGAGGACCAAGCCAAGAGGGCAATGCATAAATAATAAAATTTCTATAAACAACAGAAAAAACAGAGGAAAGAAAATAATCAGAGAAATAAAAAAAGTTTTACAGAACTTAAGGGCATGAGTTTCCAAAATGGAAAATGGAATAGGTCCTCTGAGGATCCTTCACAATGAATGAAAATGGACCTAGAGCAAGGTCCATCATCATGAAATTTTAGAACACTGGGGACAAAGAAATAATTCTATAAGCTTCCAGGGAGTGGAGGAAAGGAATTAAAATAGAATAAAAGCTTTGAAGTGCACTGGATTTCTCAACATCAGTACTAGTAATTCTAGAGAAAATTATTTCTAACTAAGAATTTATACCCAGCCAAATTAAGAATCAATTATAAAAGTAGAATAAAGCCATTTTCAAATATGCAGAGACTCAAATAATTGATGACAGCTAAAATCACAAAGCAAGCAGTAATACAAACCAAGAAGCAATATAAACATGTTGCTGAGGGATTTGAAGTAAATACTGAAAAAACAAAACAGCTAAAAGAACAGAAAATGGTTGCCTCTGGGGAATAACTTTAGAAGACTTATTTTTTGAAATAGGTGTTTTTCCTCACTAAACTATGATCATATGTAGCTTTGGTAACAATAAAAAAAATTTTAAAGAGGGGCATTTCCAAATTGAAAAGTACCTATTTATAAAATTAACGGACACCACTATGAAGTCATAGGACTGATTTTGCAAGTTGCATTTTATATGTATAAATTTTCCAAACAACAGAAATTCATCATACAATGAGACTGGAGGCCATTAAGAACTTTAGCCTTGGATTTCAGTGCCTCAGAGAGTGAAATGAAGTCCTCTCAAAATAAGGAGCTATAAATTCCAGATACGTTGCTATGGTAACTGAACCACTTTAATAAACTGCTTGTTTGACTAAGAGCTGTATTTACTGTGATAAGTCTTTCAAAAAACACATGTCAAGTTGGAATATTTTTAAGGTACATTCATTTACCATCCATTGCAGACTTACAAATTATACAACCACTGTATCCCCAGTCTCAGATGCATTCCCTGCCTGAAGAGAAAAACTATTTCTGCCCGAGTCTCCTCCACTGATATCACCCCTTCCTCATTACAACCAGAAGCTGCTGATGTCAAAGCCCAAGCCTCCTGTTCCCCACTCTTACTAATCACTGGTTTAGAAAGACTTATGGTTAATATTAATATTATAAAGTTCAATTATATAATGGGCTAAACAGTCTCTTGGGACTAGCCTGGTAATTTAACCATCACTGTGACCTTGCTTCCTGCAAGAATGAGAACCAAATATCTACATAACAAATAAACTTAAGGATTTTTCTTAGGTTCTTAAAATGGGACTGCAAAGGAGTGCATTTTAAAATGTACTATACAAGTTAATTGTTCTGATTGTATTCTAATTAAAACTGTCACTGCATTGTCATATTTTAAGTTATCTGAGCAGGATTTGCTTTCAAACTATCTTAAACAAATTATGTGGAATGGCAGGTCCTGATCAGCCTTTTGGTTAAGCTAGTTCAGGTTTTGTAGAAATTGAAAAAATTTTTGTGTTCACAATCTTACCTTACTGAAACTGTTAGTCCAAGCTCTAAATTACGTAACAAAGACTAGACACTACATCTCATTTACAGAAATGCAGAAAATGAAGAGAATATGTGTTAAATTTATTTCTTAAATTTTTTTTTAGTGAGTAGGTGTACATCATACTGTTTGAAATAGAAGTAATTAAAGAAAAACCTAAACTGCATAAAGAGCTGATGAAACTTACTTGATATAAATTGTCAGCTTTTTATCAAACAATAAAAGGGAGAAATAATGAATGAAAAAAACATCAAATGTGCACTATGACACAGATTCTCTCCTTGACTAAATGTTAGTTAGGTTTCCCCAGGCCCTCTTGACTAGGCCTCAGCCTGTCCTGGCCAGGCCTACACAGCCCAGTCTCAGCAAGAATCCTGCAGAGTCAGTTTGTTAAGAAAGCCCCTACCCTTGCTACCTAATCAATCCTTAATATCTGATTAAGTTCCTCATCCCCCACTTACGATGTCTAAGTCTTTGGGCTACCTTGAGCAAGAATCCCCCTGCCCTTACTGTCTCCTCTTAGTAATTTTGCATCCAGTGACCCCCCTCCCGATCGAGCTCGGTGGCTATAAATCCCCACTGGTTCTTGTTGTATTCAGAGTTGAGCGATCTCTCTCCGCAACTGTAGTAGAGTTGACTCCCTTGCAATGATCTTGAAAGAAGTCTTCCTTACCATTTTAGTAAGTATCGGAATGATTGTTTTGTTTAGCTGCTACGAATTCCAGTTGAGGGAGTGTGAACATAAAGGAAGCTCCTCCTTAAATTCTGAAGTCCTCAGGCTCCAGAGCAAATGCAGTTTTATTTACATATGGGGTGGCCATATGCTTTAAGGAAAGATCTTCAGGACTTTTTT